CAGTTGAACTATTTAAAATCTTAAAAGATGACGCTATTAAGGTACTACACTCAATATGCCAACAGGTTTAGAAAACTCAACAGTGGCCAGAGGACTGGAAAAGATCAGTCTACGTCCCAATCCCAAAGAAGGGCAGTGCCAAAGAATGCTCCAACTACCATACAATTGCACTCATTTCACACGCTAGCAAGGTTGTGCTCAAAATCCTACAAGGTAGGCTTCAACAGTATATGGACCAAGAACACCCGGAAGTACAAGCTGGATTTCGAAGAGGCAAAGGAACTAGAGACCAAATTGCTAACATGCGCTGGATTATGGAGAAAGCCAGAGAGTTCCAGAAAAACATCTACTTCTGCTTTATTGACTATGCAAAAGCCTTCGACTGTGTGGACCACAGCAAACTATGGTAAGTTCTTAAAGAAATGGGAGTGCCTGGCCTCCTTATCTGTCTCCTGAGAAATCTATATGTGGGACAGGAAGCAACAGTTAGAACTGGATATGGAAGAACTGATTGGGAAAGGAGTATGACAAGGCTGTATATTGTCTCCCTGCTTATTTAATATGCAGAATACATCATGCAAAAGGCTGGACTGGAGGAATCTAAACCATACCTCTAGATTTTAAGCCTAAAATATATTTACTGCAGACCAAGGTTCCTTCTAAGGCATGCGACTGCACAACTCCACTTCCTTCCATGTACCTTTCCTCCTCCCCCACATACCCACAGCAACAATTTCCGGCCCCTTTCATTCCGGTCACAATGGAACCCTGCAGGGGAGGCAGAGTTGTGCAGGGGGTGGCGGCCCACCCAATGGGGCCAAAAATGAGAGGGAACATTGTTACAGACCCTTTTGAATAGTTCAGTATACCTACCAGCTCCACTGCAAATACTCCAAGATGGCAGCCTGTACGGAGTTGTGGATGTATAGAACACACTGACATCTTGAGGTGCCAGAAATTCCACAAATTTGGCATTTTTAAAGTAATCTTTTTTACAGTGAAGAATAGAGGCAGCCTGTTCTGATATGTAGAGAATCTTTCCAGTAGCAAAAGAAACAGCTACAGCAAACATATCCTAAAACAAACAAAAAAACAAAAAAACACAAAACACAGTTTGCACAATACATATTCAATAAAATTTACTTTAATGCAAGGAAAACATTAAACAATATTTGTGAGCTAAATAGTGAGACATGGAAAAGTTACCTTTTCCCTTCTGATAAACATAAATGCATCTGCTAATATCTGTAGCTTGTTCTGAAAAAAATGTTTTCAATTGCAATCAGAAGTATATTTTATGATGTTGAGTTCAGCTACAGAAAAAGACTAAGGCTGAAATTCTGCTGGGCAAATTCCGTCTGTACAACAGACATAACGTCACTGTTAGCAACAGATTAAACCGACTGAAGTCTTTTTTAAAAAAATTGGGGGGGGGTACATGCAGCTTTGTCTCATTGTGTGTCAACTGTGAGCACTCAATTTTTAAAAAGTATTTAATCAGTGGTAATATGGTGTTCACAACTGTATTATTCTCATTGCACAAGTATAACTGCGCAACAGAATTTTGGCCTGAAGCTCCAACTCCCAGCAAGAATTATTTACCTTAAAACTAAGAGGAAGTTTGTCAGAACTGTTTGAATTTTTAAAAATATATAATTAAAGTTATATCTGATAAAAGATATGAACTTTTCTTACACAGAAAACCCTTAATTTTTAATACTGATTGACTTGTTAGATTAGTAAAATTCACCCAAAATCCAGGACTCTTAACCACAAATTTTACAATCTTTTTCTTCAGCAGCTCCCCTCTTGGTTAGAGAGAAGTAACTATTTTGATCATTACCATTGTTATAGGAATTCACCTGAAATATTTTTCTTAATGTTTAGCTTCCATTGGAACTAAAAGCATCCCCCCCCGTAGATGAGGACGTGGTGGTGCTGCAGGATAAACCACAGAAGCCTGTGCTGCAGGGGCAGACGTCCAGCAGTCGTAAGATCAAATCCACGCGATGGAGTGAGCTCCCATCGCTTGTCCCAGCTCCCGCCAACCTAGCGGTTCGAAAGCATGCAAATGCAAGTAGATAAATTGGGACCACCTCGGTGGGAAGGTAACAGCGTTCCGTGTCTAAGTAGCACTGGCGATGTGACCACGGAAGATTGTCTTTGGACAAAACGCTGGCTCTATGGCTTGGAAACGGGGATGAGCACTGCTCCCTAGAGACGAACACGACTGGACAAATATTGTCAAGGGGAACCTTTACCTTTACCTGCAGATGAGTGGCAGGACAACAAAGCCAATTGTATCCTAATATCAAATATCTGGGATACATTGAACGAAGCAAATGAGACTGATGCAGGATCAACTGTGAGCTTCATGTTCAAATGCGGGTTTCAACCTATACTTCTTGTTTAAATTCAACAGCAATCTGCAGTGACTCTCTTTAAACATGAAGTATACCACTATTCAAGTCAGAAATAAGATGCTTATACATTAAACAAAAATAACTGCTTACACTTCTAATCCAATCATAAAAGGATCATTCACACATATATCTCCTGGCAAAATACTCACTGCATTCTTCATTATATACTCTGTAGTAATGTTTTCAACATCTTCTACCGTATAGGACAATACATCAAGACCACAGAGGTAGCTATCCTTAGTCATCATCAATTGATAATATTCTTCATTAGCTGCATTAAAACAACCAATCTGAAATAACTTTCAAAATGTATTGTTTAAATCTACTACAGCAATATTTAGTAGAGATGAAACAACAAAATAATTCAATGCTTTGTATCATATGAAACAACAAAATAATTCAATGCTTTGTTGAACTGTTGAGCCAGAGCAGACCAGATACTGTACATCCTATTCAACTGCCTTCTTGAATGATACATTTTTCCTGCTTCAAAAAGTTAGATGCTTTAATCAAAACAATGTTGCATGTGGAACCTCAAAATGGTCCCAGGAGTTAGGAGTGTTTCTCCTATCTGCCCTTCTATAACTTAGATAACGGTAAGCACAAAAGTCCACAGGAAAAAGATGTTATGCAGCCACCACAGCCAATAGTAATACTGTATAATGGGCAGGGATGGGCCTTCAATTAATCACAACATGAAACAGACTCTTTAAAATACGAATGATTTGTGTCTAATGAAAGAGGGATACACAAAAGTTTAGAGTTTATCTCATACTAATAAGCACAAAGTGGCTCACTTTCCCTTTCAATTGGAGGAGGATGTAATGCAGCTACTAGAGCCAATAATAATATACAGTAATGGGTATAGATGGGACTTTCATCTTTAACAAAAGACCAAACATGTGAAACAGAGACCCTCTAAAATTGAATGATTCATGTTTACAAAAGAATGGTGCACAAAAGTTTATTGCTTCTCTCATGTTTCCTTTTTTCTATAATGTTTTGGTGCCTTAACACTTTTTCTCTAACAAACGGTATCATTGTATTATCGAAGGCTTTCACAGCTGGGATCCGATGGTTGTTGTAGGTTTTTCGGGCTGTTTGGCCACGTTCTGGAGATTTTTCTTCCTAATGTTTTGCTAGTCTCTGCAGCCGGCATCTTCAGAGGACAGGACTTAGTTCCAATCTCCTGAAAAGGAAAAAAAGCTGATCCCACAGCTACAAATACTCAACTATCCCACACATTACACCAGAACACAGAGTTCTAACTCCTATCCTCTGAAGATGCCAACCACAGAGACTGGCAAAACGTTAGGAAGAAAAAACCCGAAACAGCCTGAAAAACCTACAACAACCAAATCCCATATCATTGTGAGGGCTGCCAGGATCAGTATTCAATCAGAATATCGAAGGAGACGGAGGTGGAATTTTGAATCTGTAAAATGGCTTGGAACACAGTGAGGAGAGTTCTCTGCTTCAGTCATTATTGTGTGTTGAGCTGCTGCTGCCCTCCATCTACAATTGCTACCAGCTTGCCTTCACCTCCACCTTAGATCTTTCCTTTCTCCCATTTTAAAACAATTTGTTCCTCTCCCATTTCTTTGGCCTATTTTGGCTGATTGCGGGAACCTGCCATGCTTTCTTGGGATTATTTTTTGGATTTCTTTGATTGTGAGGGGATTCCAACCCCCCTCATTGTTCCCCTGCCTTGGGACATGGAAGGAGGAGCCTTTAAAAGTAAAAGAAATCACCAACATATTAGTGTGACCAGGATTGGGATTGCTGGCAGCAATCCAGCTGTAATTTTTGACAATTAAAGGTTCTCCCTCTGTCCTAAAGCTCTGAAAGTGCAAAAAGAAGCTGCCAGGAGCCTCAGAACTTGCAGGTAGGGATAGGAATCCTTTCATAAGTTCAATTAAATATTTTAAATACTGGATCTAGGTTACAACAACATATTTATCATTTTTGTACATTAACTTCCACACTAAATAGAACCAGGGAGGACATCTCATGCTTTCTTACGCTTTAAAAAAGGGAGCAGACTGCTTACCTAGGACTGAGCCCGCTAAACACAATGAACTTTTGCTCCCACAAAAATAGATCAATTGGCTCAAAATATGTTGTTTGCAGATGACAATACTATTGGAGTCAGTTCTTCATTTCATCTTCTCTGGCATGCGGGATTATGCTGTGCTATTCACTTGGGGTGGGAGTCACCGTACAAAAATGGTGCATCAGTGTGTTCATATATTAAGTTAGAAAGCTGATGTGTGGTATAGATTTCTCCACTTCAAACATTACTTCTTGCTTTAAACCAAAGGCAATTTCTGTCTTTAGGAACACTATCTTGTTATCTTTGCTTTAGTAGGCTAACATAAAACACACATACACTGCATTGCACAGGGCTCACTGACAGCTCTTCCAACCATGTGTGTAAATGTGTAAGACAAACACACATTGAGAAATAGCGCACCTATGATTTCATTGTACAGTGATTTCATACTACACAACTACATTATATGTTCACACTAAAATAAACAATAACAAGTTCATAGTAGTACACAGAAGAAAAATACATTAGTACCATATTAAGAAACACAATAATTGGTTCAAAACTTGAGTAATTCTCTTCATAAATTAGCTTATTACACCTTGATAATGTACCTGTAATTTCCTACCTCCAATAGTACCAACAGAAATGTGTATACAGTTACCTTTCACTTGCTTAATACTTCTAAGTGCATATTTCAGAGCTGCAAGGATACTGGATTTGCCTTTGATCCTTTTATCAGGAGGAAGATGCCCTTTCAATTCTTGCAGCGTTTTTATCAGTTCCTTCTGGTTCATGGATTTAGAAGTAAATTCACTGCTAAATAATATAAACAAAAGTAATGTTTCACATTTAATTTGTACGCATCACAGCATTTTCAATGTTAATACTGCAAGTGAATGAAGATATACTGTTCCCAAGACAATCAACATCCGTCATTCTTTCTCCATTACTTACTTATATTCCCACCACTAGAATCTCAAAAACATGTGATATAAAATGTTATTTACCTGTATCCAATAACAATTATTTATTTTAATATTAAAATTATTTTACCCCACCTTTCTCCTTAAAAAGGACCTGTGGCTTAAATCACTGAAAGACAATATTTAAAGCTGAAAACAATGAGTATACAAATGTGGGTTTTTTTTTTATCTAGACTAGATGCAGCTTGTTATGTTAGGCATCCATCAGTCTCGAAATGCTCTGTATGGATTACTTGGAACAGCGTCTAGTGTGGCTGAGGAGGCCAATTCGAGAGTGATAATGCCTTCCACACTGAAGACAAATCCAATCTATCCCCTGTCCAGCTCCCTGGTTTTGCTGCTTTTGTGACTTCCTATTTGCCTCGGCCTGCTGGACAAGGGTCTCTTCAAAATGGGAGAGGCCATGATGCAACGCCTGCCTCCAGGCTGAACGCTCAGATGTTAAAGTTTCCCATCTGTTGAGGTCCATTTCTAAGGCCTTCAGATCCCACTTGCAGATGTCCGTGTACCACAGCTGTGGTCTCCCTCTGGGGTGATTTCCCTGCACTAATTCTCCATATAGGAGATCCTTTGGAATCCGACCATCAGCCATTCTCACGACATGCTCAAGCCAACGTAGACGTCACTGTTTCAGTAATGTATATACTTAGTTGCAAGGATAATTAGTTCAATATAAGAGTCATGACAAATTTAAGCTAGCTCCTGCAACAGTAACATAGTTTTCATCTTTGTGTTAGGTACATTTAAAATATGGCTGGTACTGAATTGTAGTGATGGTGGAAGTTAGTTCAGGCAATCAGATCCACAACTATCCTATTCTGAATGGAAGGGACAAACTTAAAAACATTAAGTTTCAGTGCACATAATCAAAAAATAGGGTTAGTCTGAAGGTAACAACTCAGTGTCAGTCAAGAACAGAAGGTTTTGGAGGGAAGGGACACAATTCTCAGTCCTATCTTCCAGCTTTGACTATGAAATTAGCATAATCATCCTTGTACTTGTTCAAAGACAGTAAAGCTGAAGTTCACATTCTCTTACCACACTCATTTCCCCTGAAAGATAAAATCGTCACAGTTCACAAAAAGCAGTTCAATATATTGCTGTTTTCAATAAAAACAGATTAACAGCAAATTTTCAATACCATGGAACAAGTTGCACATAATTTCAGCTATGGAAGTTTATATGATCAAAGCTACTATTTCACATGAGAATTATGCAATACCTACCTTTTATAGCAATCTAAGGATCCCATGATCATTGCTGTTTCTTTTCCACTGTCTTCATCTTCATTGTTATGAGAATCCTGTCCATTGCAGTAATTTTCATTGGTATCATTTGCACTTGATCCCCCATTCATCTCAATGTCTTCCTGAAGAACATCTAGGTTTTGTTCATTCTTCATTTGAATATCCATGTTTTCTACAATCATTTTACCATTCACCATTTCCAGATAGTCACTCATTTTGAGGCCCTTTTAAGGTCAACGATTCTTGTACTAGAATATTTTCTAATGTCCAGAGGTCAGCTCCTTAGTGTATGAACAGAATGTCTGTTTACCATAATCAGACAGAGTTTATAGTTTCCAAGCCATCTGCATTATTAGCATTCACAAGTTTGAACCTGCAACCTCCAGTTCACACATCTAGGAGAGAAAAAGCAAGTAGAACAAAATATGATGAAAACTGATGAAATGGATTAGTATATGCTATAATAAACCTTTAGTCTACAAGATGCCACAAGGCTTTGTTAATTTTTGAACAAAACAATTTGCTTTTATGTACATTCCTAATTCTCTGGAAAAAGATTTCAAGTCATCACCACATTTTTATATAAGTGTACATGTAAAAACATGTTTATTACAGCAGTAATTTTACCAAAGTAAAAGAACTAGCTGGTGGTAGTGCTCCCACTAAGTCTCAACAATCGTTCACATGAGCAACGGTGTCACAATTTATTATTTAAATTCCGGAGGGGTAGATTTCAAGTTTACTTGAATTTTCATTTGTACACCAAGACCCATCAATTGGAATCAGATGGTTTTCATCTGAACACTCCATTCCACCAGTTGGAGCAAAATGCAAAGCTCCGGAGGTGGATGAGTAGTAGAGATGAGACACTTAGCATTAATGCACAGGATAATCATCTTTGTGATAGAGCACAGGTGTGCTCCTTCAACTTTCTGAACTACAATTCCTGGAATTCTCCCAAAATTCCTAGGGAAAGTCTGAGTTGCAGTCAACAATTACAGATCTGGAGACCTCTACATTTCACACACACACACCCAAGATGAAATGCAAGAAGAAAAAGAAGTAGAGGAGGAGGAGCTGCTGCTGCTGATGCTGGGATGCCTCCAGAGAATCAAACTACTTATGGAAGTATTCTCTATAAACACTAATGGATGCTGCGATTACAACTCCCAGAATCCAGGAACTAGGTCTAGCCCCTGCTGGCTAGTTACATGGTTTACCAACCAGCAGCAAATAGGTCACCCTGGGATAATGGGAGTTATAGTGCCTCTATCCATTAGGCTCTAGAGAAGATGCATTACAAAGACAGACTCAGCTGTATTCTAAGGATCAAAGAGATTAAAATAATCCTCTCTTCCAATGTCTCTGTTTTTAATCAGGAGCAGCTATGGAACTCTGCAGGCCTGAAGCGACAGTACCAGGTTACATAGAAGGTTTAAATTTTCTGCTTGCTTCATTTACTCAAAACCTACCCGCCCAGCTGTTATCTGCTTGGCTAGGGAAAAATGCAATGTTGAAAACAACTGAGCTAGTTAAATGGAGATACTGGGAATTAATGGTTGTAATCCTGTTGCTTAGCGTAGTAAGTTGCACAACACTAGGCTGATTCAAGTGGGCCTACCCTACTTGTGCCTTACTACACCAAGGTAAGACAATTAGAATAAGACCATATGAATCAACAGAATTTATGGAGGAGCTGACTCATCAAATTCCCACCGATTCAATGGGCCTACTCTAGTGCAACTTCATATGTTAAGCAACAGGATTTTAGCATATACTGTAGGTGTATATATTCTTTAATTTATGCTACAGCATAAGATTTATTGTTCATATACAAATGGGCAAGGGATGCATAGAAAATTTGACCCAAAGTACTTTCAGAAACTGTTATTCTGGTGGCTAAATATAAACTCCAATGAACCAAGGATTTACGTACCCTGATTTCTCACATACTTTACATTTTTTCCAAACTCCTACAAGCCTACAGATCCTCTTCACAAGAGCAAGAGATGTCTATCTGTCCAGTGGAAAGAGAATTTTGTAGTTTATGGACAAGGCTGTACTAAATGGTTTTCAGTAGCCATATATACATTCTTTCTATCAAGCTATGTATGCATACTTCCAAGCCCTTCCTTACATGCTGAAAAATATTCTGAGCAGTAACAGACAGAGGTCAAATGGCGCTACGAATATCGGTGTTAACAAAAATTTATAACCACCACGTGTTCCTTTCAACTTGCTCATGACAACTAAGGGAGAGAGGGCCTTGCAAACTCCTGACAATCCTTTGACTCAAAAATTGTATAACAACTGTTGTTATGGCTGATGCTGGTAAAAAGTCAAAAATCTCTTCCAGGCACAGAAAAGGATGCCAATGATTTGTGGCTCAATACCAGAAGAGGTTTCAAAACATTCACAGTAGCACTGCTACTTACCTCACAGGAGGAGAGCAGTGTGACCTCTGAATCGAAGGAAGCAAGATTGGCATAGTTATGGTTTGGGTCCTACAACTACAAAATTCAAGTGAAATTAGACTGCAAGCAGAAGAGGAAATATCATTTTTGAAATCTCACAAGGAAAGTTCAGCACAAAAAAATCAGACTTCCAAAATACACCCACGCTGATAGGCTCCTGCTAAAAGGTGTCAAACTGAACTTTGCTTAAGATTTCAAATGAGCAATATAATTCTGGGAGTCCTAGACGGATAAACTTCAAAAGAGTGTACTAGTAACATATCAATGACATATATGCCAAAAATATACTAGTATCTTCAAATAATTGTGCAAATAGGAAAATTCACTAATACTGTACAAAAAGTTCATTGATTGAAAAACTTTTGCTCATTGCAGCAAGTCACAGAAGATAAACCCACTAAATCAGTAGGCATTTAGTGTCAATAATTTCTCTGTATGTTCCATTGATTTAAATGGGTTGACTCTAGATGCAACCTACTTTACTGCAGTTTCAATGCAGTGATTAATTGCACAGAGAGAGAGAGAGAGAGACTTGCCAACATCTGTGAGCCTGCAGAAGGATCTGAAGGCATCTCTGCCAGAGTGCCATCCATCCCAAGGTAAAATGGGAAATAAGAATGAAGTTGAAGAGAAAGGGGCAAAGAAAGGGGGGAAGAGCCCCCTAGTGGGAAGGATGAGAATGACAAGGGAAACAATGAAGGGAAGAACAGTTAAGAGGTGGGAAAGGACAGTGGATGAAAAGGATTTGTGACGAGAGGGCCAAAATAGAGAGGGAGACTAGATAGATAACTATGTCCTGCATGGAGAAATCTACAGCCAAGGAGCTGGGAAGTTTCTAACCCTGCAGGCAAGCTCATGAGATCCCAAGACTATCCAGGGAATACAGTTACCCTTGTTGCCGCTATCACCATGGCCAATGTTAATGGACTTGGAGCCTGTGAGTCTAAGAGGAAATTGGGAGCCCTCTCCTAGTTCAAGGGAAGAATATTTTTTATACCATTGAGTACTGCCAAGTCGTTAAATGTTAAAGTTGATATACAGTAATTACATTTTCTAGATGTTTCCAAAATAAATGTTGTATGTTTGAAAGCAGGACAAGCATCTCCCATTTATGAGCAGCCACCTGTACAAGGGATGGATCAACCAGGCTTGAAAGAACCCTCACATCATTCTTCTTGTTAAGTAAACATGGTATGATTTCACAGCATTATCTAATTAAGATAATGCAAGTATTAAAAATAATGAGCACCTATGAACGTAAGTGCCTTCCACAATTGTTTAATGGCAGACTTTTCACATATGTGGATCACTTTGTAGGAAAATGTTGCTTTATCTTCTGCATTAGGAAGCAACACAGGATTTATTATTATTTAATTTATTATTTAAATTTATATTGACAACCAGGCCACTGTGCGCGGCTAACAACAATATAAGGAGAAAAAAACTTAAAATCATGAGAAAAATAAGTTAATACATAGCAAATCAGAAATTAAAACAGATGACAGAAGGAGGTGGAAAGGGATGGAGTTAAAACTAAAAAGAATTGTTTAATTATTAAACTGAGAAGTTGTTATGCTGGACAGAAATGTGTGAAGCACACAATTTATTTATTTAATTTATTTATTTATTTAACTTATATGCCGCCCACACTACCCGAAGGTCTCTTTATGAGCTCAGCAAATTTGATACAATTTGGTAGTTTTGCAACAAAGATAATACGTTTCACAAGATGAATTGTTGAGACTCTTTAGCCCCAAATTTAGTTTTCCCCCTATAATCTTGTTTAAAAGTTTGTTTGTCTTTGTCAATGCCAGAGCAGATAAATATGGAATAATAGTGCACTACTTAAAAATAAACCACAATCTAAATATAAATAAAAGCTAAGCAAACAAAATGTATATTATCAGAAAAATACACTCTGGCCAGAATCCTACTGTACTTGTGTTTAGGTAAGACCCCTATAACTTGCCACCAATATACCCTTTAATTTTCAGCCCCACTGGGCAAGGCTCCGCCTCTCTTGTGCACTACTGAGTGAGTGCACATGGAGTTCTGTAGCAACCGGAACCAAAGGGGCTGTGCAGAGGAGGAAACCTGCACAGAGGGGGTGGAGCCATATGTCTTAGAGGGATCCTTGCTTCCCACAAATAATTATTGAGGCACTGGGACGTATCTTGGTTGTGTGCTTGGTCACATGCCGAGCTGTGATGTGTGCACCTTGAATCTGGTGAGGACATGAGAAAGGGCCTTCTCAGTTACAGGATTTGGAATGCATTGTCCCTCAAAGCTAGATTGCCGAGGACATGAGAAAGGGCCTTCTCAGTTACTGCTTCCAGGATTTGGAATGCACTGTCCCTCGAAGCTAGATTGCACCCCATTTCTTCTTCTTGTGTTGTCAAGCAGACTTTCCTCTTCAGACAGGCTTTTAATCAATATGCCATGTTTATTAAATTTAGATTGTTTAAATTGGTTTTAATACTGACCAACATTTGTTTTTAATATAGTTTCTGTATTGTATTTTAAACCTGTTATTATTGTATTGTTTTAATTGTTGTGAGCCACCCTGCATCCTCTACAGGGAGAAAGGCAGCATATAATTAACTATAACAAACCATGCAAGAACTCCCCACTTAAACCTAAAATTCACATTATTGTTATCTCCTTCTGGCATGGACCAATTCAGCAGTATATTGTATGCAAACAGCACCTCTCCCATACACATAAAAGATTGTTCTGTTCTTTCAAATGTTCTGTTTTAGCCATCAGCATATAGCCAAATTTAATCAGTTACATGATTACTCTGTTTCTAAGAATTGTGTCAATTATGAAAGGAAATTATTGCAAAGAGATTCACAAAAGTAATATGGGGCAGAATGGTGACGTGGGGAGTAAGTGCACTGCTGCAAATAGAAACTAAATCAAAGTGCAGTAGGTAGCTCCATGACATACTCTCTTCCTTATTTCAGCACAGCACTTCTACAGAATCAGTATTGTTTATTGAACTATCAAAATTTCTCAACACCTCCCTACAGTGTAAATGATTCTGAATAATTTGAAAATGTTAATGAATCTTCTTTCACTGCTGTAACTTTCATATCATTATGCAAAACATAAAATATATTTTAATATCAAAACGGTAAACAATTACATTAGTACAACAGTTATGCAGAGTTACCTAAAAGTAAGCTGCCCTTAATACAATGGGACTTACTTCCAAATAAACAAGAACAGGATAAGGTTGTTAACAATTATTTTTGAAGAATGCATATACAGCATTGCTATTTAATTTGAACAAACTATTAAGTGTTAGTTCAACTCAAACTAGCACGGTTACATGCACTCCTTACCTTATATTTTTAAAAGAAAGGTTGGCACAAATGTACATCATGGTCCCTCCCAGTTAGCATAAAAAAACGTGAGGTACCTAGGTCCGGAATGTCCCACATGTACTTATACTTGTCTCTTCCTCTTCTAATGATAATCCTCAGCCATTAGGGTATTTGACACCTCAAGAGCTACAAAATGGAAGAGAAATAACTAGGGTTCCCAGTGATTTTCTCTACAAATATTTCTAGAGCACAAATATGCCACAGAAGGTAGGTTATGCCAACCCTATAGCACATAACCATTCAGACTTACATTTACAAAACAACATTGGATGTTTCATATATTCCAATCAGGTTATACACTACAAGTGGATTTTCAAGTATATTTTTATTTCAACTCTATTTTTAATTGACTCTGGAATAAGAGGCACAGAAGCAGAAAAGGAAAACAGTACATCTTAAGTTATATTTATGACATAAAATTTACCGTATTTTTCGCACCATAAGACGCACTTTTTTCCCACAAAACAGGGGGGGTGGAAAGTCTGTGCGTCTTATGGAGTGAAGAAAACAGATTATATTTTCCTGTTTTCTTCTCCTAAAAAATTGGTGCGTCTTATGGAAAGGTGCGTCTTATGGAGCGATACGGTATATAAAACTCAAAATACATTACAAAAATAGCTCCTAACACACTGCGACTGAAATCCAGGAGAATCACAACTAAAGTAAGCCTATTCACTCAATGGGGATCTGCTGAGTCAACATTTCTGTAAATTATGCTGATTCAATAGGCCTGCTCTATTTGCAGCTTACTACTGGATTTCAGCCAGTGAATGAAACCAAAATTCAAGGACAAATAGCATTTTGGAACTCTCATAGTACAGTGGTGCCTCGCATAACGGGATCAGAGTTTTGTTCTTTTCAGGAGATTAGGTGTTTCCAGTGATTAGGGTGTTTTTTATTATAGGTGTTTTGTTGTGATAAGGGAGATTATCTGTCACTGTGATAGATGGGTGTCATTAATCTTTTGTGCGCAGTGATCACTGGCTAGAGTTCACTGACCTTTTTGCAGGCTGTATTTTTAAGGGCTGGGAGTCAGGCTTTGTTGATTTTTAGACTTTCTTTTTTGTTGAAGCTGTATTGGCATTTATGGATTTCAATGGCTTCCATTTTTAGTCTAACATAATGATTGCTGGTGTTATCTTGTACTTCTGTGTTCTGAAGTAGGATTTCATGTCCAGCTTGTTTCAGTGCATGTTCAGCTACTGCCAATTTTTCTGGTTGTTTTAGTCTGCAAAGAACATGAAAGAAACTGCAAACTAAAACCACCGGAAAAATCGGCAGTAGCTGGAAATGCCTGAAATGTGAAGAAGGTGAATTTGGAAGCCATTCCCCCTACATCTCTGGTACTAACTTCCACACAATACTGTCCCCTATCCACCCAACACTCTGGAGCAAATTGGAGGGAGTGGGGGAGGGAGCATAACTGAAAAGTGTTCTGCTGATGGAAATCTGTCCACGGATGGGAGGCTTTGCTGCACCAAACAGCTTTCTGTCAACAGAATGACCACAACTGGACTGAATCCAATATACTGTACTCATATATTAAATATAAGATTAGGGAAAAACACTTTTCTATGTTTTCATTGTAACAAAAATTGAAAGATTTTGAACACTGAAGATACCTATAGCTTGCTTTATATAACACACCTGTTTCATGGGATTCAAGGCAGTCAACTGCCACTTTAGAAAAGAAGCTTCACCTGTAGCATTAAGAAAGAAAAGTGTAAATTGGAAGTTTTAAAAGATTTAAAAAATCAAATCAAAATTTGTATTAAAATAGGCTTAGATTTGTTTAGTTCTCTAATAACTTAGTCCCACAATACAACTCAATCTGAGCCTGGACCACTCCTCACAACAGGTTAATATTCTAAACACCATAATCATGGAATTTATATCTGCCACTTGATACTAGAAATGTAGGCTATTATAAATATTCCCATGCTTTGAATACAATTCAGAACACAACACACAATGCCCTACATAATGCAAAACCCAACGAACTAACTTTTTTTTTTCAATTTCCTTGATGAGGACTCAAATCTGGAGCATTTGTATCAAGCATTCCCACATCAGATTCCAGGGATGTAATGTTTATAGTCGATTAGGACCAATGGCATATGCGGACATAGACCATATTAGACAACTGGCTGTAATGCCAGAGTTGGGAATTCTATTCCCCACTGTGCCTCCTTGACAGGGGCTGGATTTGACCTTCCTTTCCTATAGTTTTAAGACAAATATTTTAAAACATTTTCAGTCTTGCAGAGCCAGAAGGAGCAATATGGATCATCAAGCCCAGACTATCAAGGAGGCACAGTGGGAATTTGAACTCCCAACCTCTAGCTCTGCAGCCAGATAACCAAACCACTGAGCTATCCTTCTGGATTATCCGTCACTACACCACTCAGACAGCGAATGTTCTCTTTTACACTGCAACAGCTAATGGCTGACTTTATGCTGTTTCTTTAAAAGAGGTGCAAATGCTTCCATTGAAACATTGTTAGTTACTTTGGTGACACTATATAAACAATATGTCCCATCACTGGCTAGCAGTACACAATGGTGCCTCTCTTAACGACGTTAATTTGTTCCAGCGAAATCGCTGTAGAGCGAAAACGTCGGAAAACAAAAATAAAAAACCCACTGAAACGCATTAAAACCCGGTTGGTGCGTTCCAATGGGCTAAAAACTGATCCTCCATATGGCATCCTCCATATGGCGGGGATTTTCGGTGCCTGTATAGTGAGGAATCTGTCCCTAAGCACAGTGGGGAGCCATTTTGAGCACCCGGCAGCCATTTTGAAAACACGACTATCAGCTGTTTTGATTGTCGTTATATGAAGAATCGGTTCCCGAAGCAGGGAACTGATCTTCACAAAGCGAAAAAAAACCCATTTAAAACATCAATTTGCGATTGCAAAAACATCGTCGTAAAGCTGATTCATCGTAACGCGGGGCAACTGTTAAGTGGGGCACAAATGTACATGGATATAAGATCTTGTGACTAGAGATGGGGGTATTCGTATACGAATATCCCCACACAGGTGGCGTTAATGATGGTCCAGCCCCATGGGGCCAGATGGTCCACTCACCAATCCACTGTGGATGTGGACAGCATGATTCTACGAATGGCTCCGCAGCGCGCAATCCGCTTGTCATTCCTAGCAGGAGGTGGGAGGACAAGCCTCACTGCAAGGTCCAAGAGTGGTGAGTGTATCGCGCACTGAGGAGCCATTCGTAGAACCATGCTGTCCATGTCAGATCAGTGAGTGGACCGTAGAGCCCCATGTGGCCGGACTCTCATTAATGCTACCTGTGCAGGGATATTCGCATCTGTATATAAATACCCCAATTTCTAGTTGTGACTGCTTTCCTCAAAAATAATAAACATTATGCATATATAAAACAGAATTTTTAATTTTAAAAAATGCGAAAGAAATAAAAAGATTCAGTATTACAAGCTGTCACATTCTTTATCCTATACCCATAACCCCTTTTACTGTATTTTATTTTTAAAATTTAACCACATTCAGTTATTTACATACCTAGATAGACGCTTGTTTTGATATAAGCTTCAAAGAAATTGTTTCTGTTTCCTTACACAAAAATGTCCAACTATAACTAGGAGCATGCTCTTACTACATGCAACTCAAAACTCTGTCCCACAGCTCTCAGTCATAATTCAGTTTTTTCTGCACCTTTCTCACCGACACACACACCTTATACAGTATACAGAACTGCATATCTCCAGCTAGAAAACATCACTGCATTAAAAAACATTCTTCTAAATTTCTCAACTGCTTTAACTGTCTCTTTTGGCACACATTCAACCTACAATTGTTGGTCAAACTCCAGTCATGGACTATCTGTGCAGATACAAACCTACTTACAAAATACATTTACAGCGCAGAATCATGCATCACCACTTTTTTTAAAAAATCCTGGAATTCAGACTTGATTATGAAAAGCATTGTACACATGAAGACTAAAAGAAGACTAAGCATGAAATGGGTTGACTCAACAGAAGAAACCACACCCTTTAGTCTGCAAGATCTAAGCATGTCTGTTAATGACAGGATCTTCTGGAAGTCAGGAATTTATAGGGTCATATCTGAGAAGAAAACAGCACATAACAACAGACTGCTCACTATAGTAGTAGGCCATTCATCAAAATCCAGGTTAAAGTAAGGCACAAAACTCATTTTCTTTCTATGACTAAAAATGGCAAAAGATCAGGAAAAGACTGGTCATGAAGAGATGCCTAGATTTTCCTGAGCTCTGCTGTGTTCTACCAAGTCAGCCAGAAATGTGAGACTTGACCTTTATGGCACTGCTCTCAGCTCTTCTGACATACTCAAACCCCCATTAACATGAACACCCAAGGAAGAAATATAGATTATAAGGCTCACAGTGACTTGGCTATGTGCTGCTGCACTATAATTCCTATCATCCCTCACCACTGGCTATGCTGGCAGTGGTGATTTTTGGTAATTAAAGATTTCTCTAGCCCATCTCATAGCCCCCAACAAAACAGACTTCAAGAAATTCTTGGCACTTCTGAGGGAGAAACTGAAAATAATCTATTTCCAAACAATTGCCAAAAATAATGATGTCATCAGTGTTATGTTAGCAGGAGGTGGGAGGTTCAGCCAAACTTACAGGATTTCAGCCAAACTCTTTCTGACCAAACTGTTTAATCCTTGTAAAATCTACACTAGTAATGGAACAGGTTTTATAAAGAAATTGGCTGTACTAATATACTGCTATTACATGTAATGAGCTGTACAGAAAGATCAACTCAGCTTATTATTAGAAAACAAATGACTTGTCCCTCCAGAGCAGTAAAGGCTAGCTTCATACAACCTGTTCACTAAAGAAAATCCATACCCTTGTCTTCAGAGCCAGCCGATCAGCTGTTAAGTGGGGAGAGGAGGGGGCAGGAGCAGAGAAAAGCACAAAATGAATGCCAGGCTCCCTTGTGGGTGTCGGCTTTTATCTGTTTGCTGCTCTTTTTCCTGCAGTTCAGAGGCTACCAAGGCCTGGTAAGTGACTTTCTTTTATTTATTTTTAAGTTTCTGACCCTTTTTTCCCCTCCAGAAGCCTCTAAGGGGAGGGAGGGGGCACTTTTTTCCTGTTCGTAACTCGAGGGAAGTTCGTATGTCGAGTCCTTATTTCCTATCGGGTGGGTTCGTAAGTTTAATTGTTCGCAAGTAGGGTCGGTGGGGGAAACGTAGGGGACCACTGCTTAGAGGGATACAAAAATAAAGTTTGTAACTGTGGCATGGAGCAGCTGTACAGTAGAAGTCAGGGTGGATACAAATCAATAATTTCTTTAAATTAAATTGATTTAAATCAATTATTGTGATTTAAATCAAAGCAAACCTGGTGCAAGTTATGTAGGAATAATCCAAATGATTGGATGCAAACACATTATCACAGCATTCACCACCACACCCATGCAGTGTTAGATTAGATTACACTATATTCAGTAGCTGACAGCATTGTTTATAACTACAAAAAATAACGAAGTTCTTTCTTCATAAGGGACAGTATAGATGATCGTACCACCAGACACATTTTAGTCAGACTAAGGGACTAAAAATAAGGGAGTAAATTAAGAAAAACATAATACGAAGAAAGACAAGAATGCCCAGCAAAAATAGGCAATCATTTGACTGAAATTCCTGAAAATAGAGCCTTACATTGTTTGGAGTCTTCTGTCCATGAAAAAAATGCTCAACTCTTCTTAGATCCTAAGCTGTAATTTTAAATTATATTTTTTAGTTCTATGCTTCATTTTCTAGCAAAAAAAGATCCAGAAAATTCCATTCTTGTCCTTCTAGGCAGTGCAGCAACACTGTTGACTATAATTCCAGGCAACAGGTACAGTTACATAAATGACTGTGTCATAGGCAGAAATACACTAGCCCTGTTTAAAAGAGACAGAAACCAGAAATATAACTTATATACCCCCTAAAGCCATTTACCTGAGAGTATCCATGTGCAGTTTACCTCGAATAAACATAGCTAGGATCAGACTGCAGAACTACAAATTATCAAAACACTAGGTTCAAGCACTCAGAAAGGCTTCATCAAGCCAATGTCCCTTACCAATTTTTACAACTCATAGTAAATGAGAATTACTCAGGACAGTATATCTTAAACCATCTTTGGATAGTACAAGGATGCTTTCACATAAATTTCTTCAACATGCTAATATCCAAATGCTTTGATATAAAAGTTCTATATCTGAAAAACATGCAGATACCATCTGTCTTCCCTTCTAATCACTGGTCATTCAATTAAGGACACTACTCCTGTAGTATAACAATTTAAACAACTTCTCAGAAACACACAATTTGAGGAAACTATTGAAAGCAATCCTCTATACAGTATATGATAGCGCTTCCAAGCATTTCTAACATTATATCATGCTGGAAGAAAAAACGACTTCTTTTGCTAGAGCTGAAAAACTGAACTGATTAGGTTTTGTTATTTCTCATATCCAGAGACTGTTTTTATTCTCAGGAGTCATGAATTTACTGTTACTGTTGGTGGTGAAGAGGCTGATTCTTTGTAGCTCTTTTGCCCCAACAGTTAGGGAAAGGGATGTGGTGGGGGTAGCCCGGAGCCAGGAGGCTTGAGCTAGCCAGGTGCTTGGCTGCTCGCCCCTGGCCGCGGTGGAGGCAGCGGAGCACCAGGAGGCTTGAGCTGGCTAGGTTTCTTCGGCTGCTCACCTCCCACTTGCTCCTAGACGCCCTCTGCCATTTGAATTTCCCATCATCGGCCCACAGAGGGTGGCGCAGAGCAAGTGGAAGGCGAGCTGGGAGGCGAGCGGCCAAAGAAACCTGGCCAGGCTCAAGCCTCCTGGCTGCGGCGATCACAACAGTGATGGAAGCCCAGGAGGCTTCAGACCGGTAAGGTGCTAATTTTTGAAAATGTGTTTTGTTTTGTTGGGGCGGGGGGAAATGAGGGTCGGTGTTGTTTTGTTTTTGGTGATTTTTTTTTGCAGTCCCAACGAGGAACTTGCTCCAATGTTTATTTTTGGATTTGTTTTTTAGGAGGGGTTGCAGTCCCAGCGTGGGACTTGCAGTGTCTTTTTTTGTAATTTTTTCTTCCCCTGGAATGCATTAATCGGTTTTCAATGCATTCCTATGGGAAATGGTGCCTCAACCTACGAACTTTTCGACTTGCAAACACCATTCCAATACAGATTAAGATCAGGTACTTGTCAGTGAAGAACACATAGCATGGTCTCTATTTTCACATTTATCACCAGAACTCACCACTAGAGAGAACCACAGACCATGCTATGAATATTTGTAGTGAAGAACACATAGCATGGTAATGCATCTGAAAATAATTTTTTCTCCCCTTTTACCATACTATGTATCTATCACGTTTGTTATTCTCCACAATTTTCAGTATCCACAAGGGCTTGGAACCAATTCTCAGTAGATACAGAGGGTCATACTGTACTGTATATTAGCTGAAATCCTGCTTCTTCAAGTTCTGCAATACAAAGCTGATGATGTAATCAGCCAGGAATATATGTTGGAAATGTAACACTTCCCTCTCCTATCCTTAGAAATGTCCCCCTATTCTGAACAATTCCTTGCATTGTAGGGAACCCATGGCAGCCACAAGATAGGAAGGAGAAATGTTGAATTTCCTAAAATTGTCCCTGCTGATGACATCATCAATCTTAGGCCACAGAATTTACATGAACAGGATTTGAGTTACTGTCAGATAATACAGTATTAGAATGTATAATCCTCATTCCATAACAAAATCTTAAGAGCTATAAAAGATTTTAAATATAAAATACCATCACTTAGATCTTGCTTTAAAACAAAAAGCATTTTAATAATACAAATCTGATTTAAATTTAAAACAGTTTCTTATTTTAAATAAACTTATTTTTATTCACCCTTAGTATGAACACAACACTATATACTTCTCAGATAATTAGAAAATGTAAAATACTATTTATTATCTTTGCATCACAAGAGAATTACAAAGTTATACTCTAATTCGACATTTAATCTACTATATTATGTGTTCATTAAATATCAGGACACCTTTATATAATCAGTTCTAAGCTCATGGCCTCTCTATTAAACACACAACTAATCTCAGTTACATCACCTCACCATTTTGCATTTTAGAAGAACAAAGCATTTAGGAGCCCCTATATAAAATTAACATAGCATACAACCAACTAAAAGAGAAAGTTTACAGCAGCTAGATTAAAGATTTCATCTCTGACCAATGAAAATGCAAGTGCAGCATTAAGGGTAAACAATCATTCTATCCTACCACCTAATTCCAGGCTCAAATGATTAGAGCAAGCCACCTGGCAACCCCTGTACAACCTATCTTAAATCATACCCTTTTCCCAAACAAGCACAATATGCTGTACAACATAAAGTTAGAGAGCTCCTGTCAAGTGTAGTGACTGCTGCTAGTTTAAAGGCCATGCGGAAATTAGTTTAGAGACCCAGTGCTGGCTTGAATAGAATAAGCCTGGTATGGTTGAGTCAGTCACTCTCAACATAATCTTGTACATGCCTAATCAGACGTAAAGGCCATTCAAATCAACAGGATATTTTGTATAGGGCTGAAGACGGTTAAAAATCTGTGCGTAGGATGCAAACTCACTCTTTCTAAATTTTATTTATACACCTATTTCTACCCCCTCTAATATTCATGCATTGTTCTAGACAGTATGTGACAATTAAAATAATATTACATTACCAAAAGAATTACAATAAAATTCACTACAATGCAGATACAACAGTTTCATATTAATATATTTAAAAAATCACACTACATATGCAAAAACCAATCACATAATCCTACTTTTCTAAAGTTATTAAAACGGTCCAGCTTTTGACATCTCCAGATCTTTTCATCAGGGAAGATGCTGCAAAAAGTAGGTTGTAGGGCATACTGGAGGGAGGGGTGAGGAAGACAGGAGTTAATGTTGAAGTCATTGTGTCTCTATGTCTACAGGTTTGTAGCAGACTGGTGGAAGAAGGTTTCCCAGACAGTCAAATAGGTTCAACAGGTGATGACACATACTTATCACATGAATCCTACACATACACACACACATATATCACATTCATGCCCCCATTCAGCATACCCAGTGCTGAATTCACTATGGTAACAGCATGATTACCACTTCTTATATGTAAATAAGCCACACCTTACCTTATTTTTAAGTAAATTGAATCTCCAAGAACGTCTTTGTGCAACATATGATGATGGTGATGGCACCAAACTGGAACAATCACTGGGTTAAGGCCCTAATGAATTCCAATAGACCCACTGCAGCTAACCAGCATCTTCCCACTCCTTTATTATGGCTTAATTTGAATGTCTGTCGATCTCTTCCCACTCTCTGCATCTGCATCCACGCTATCATGCAAATAGTACAGGCCCCCACCCCACCCCACTCCCCTCCATCTGTCTTTTGTGGAGACCTGGAGTCCAAGAAAGCTTGCACTTTTTTGTGGGGGTGCCCTTAGGTCTGCTTAACAGAGGCATTTCACTAATAGATTTTGGATCCTCACTGCTTATGACCAACATGGTTGGCTCTGGTTTTCATTCCATACCTCAGTCTGATTCCCAAGTGTCTCTACTATCCACCCCCTGCATTTTCAACGCCGGGTACCGACCACCACATTTACACGGCTTACTTTACTTTATACCCGATCTTTCCTGAAAAGCGACAGTATCCCATTTATTAGGGACCCGTTTTCAAAGGGTTGGATGGGTTCCTTAGAGCGCCCCACAGAACCGGTGGTCAATTTTGTAAATCCGGAGGAGAATTTTGAACCTGTTCTAAACCTAAAACGCAACACCCTCTTGAAGAGCCAGCCACTTAACGCAGGAAAACAGAGTAGAGCCCCTCTCATCTACCTCTTTCCTCCTTTATGTAACACGTCCCTTTCTAGACGGAGTACTTCCTAAATGGAAGAAAACACACTCGAGCGACCCCCGGTATCCTTTTGCCCGCCCACCTTCCCGATCTCCAGAGTCCACCTTCCTCCCTCCTGAGGGGACAGCGACCTCTCGCCCACTTACCGCGGCCGAAACCCTCTCCGGCTTCCAGCACTGAAGGCGACGGACTTGAGCAGCGGAAGCCGCATGTTACACAACGCCTCACGCTGCCTGCCTACGAGTATCCCTCAGCACCGCGGCAGGAAGAAGAAATTGAGACGGAAGGGGAGGACTCCAGAGCGGTGGTCGAGATGTTGTCCCTCACCAGGGGTTGACACTCCGGCCCTCCCCCACTCTGGGCAAGCCGCCGCCGCCTCCTCATTCTCTTCAAAGCAGAGCCGCCAACTCTAGCTTCATACCGTCGAAAACGTGACTCTGCCTGAGGAACTGTCCCACTCGGGGGGAGCGATTGGCTAGGGCCAAATCCCATCCGCCTATGGGGTGGGCGGGCGCCGCCGTTCATGAGGTTGCGGTTGGCTGCGCTAGACGTCACTCACGTTGCATAAGTCTCACGTGTGAGTCCATGTTTTCTTTCCGCGCGGGCTCGCGTGATGGGGGGAGTCGGAAGATGGTTGTGGCCGCTGTTGCGTGCCTCCGCCTCAGAAGGAAAAAGGGGCTTCTCGTGGACTTGAGGAGCAAAAGAAGTTGGGTTGACGAGAGTGTGGCAGCCAGGCTGGCTGCGTCATGGGCTGGAAAGGACAGGGTTGGTTGTCACATGTCTGAGCGGGGGAAGAATGGCGGGCTGTAGATGGAGCGCGTTCTCTGGCATTTAATGCCTCGAGTGAGTGAAGGAGCTGGGCTTCTTTTCCCTCGAGGTCGTGGGAAGAAGAGAGTGGGGTTGCTGTCGTGTTCTCCAATGCCTAAAGCTAGCAAGCTAATTGCTTCATTTGTGGTCAGGGTGGGGGAACCTCTGCCCCCCCACCGCTCTTTTGCTGTTGAACTCCGGTTCCCAGCAGCCCTAGCCAGCCTGGCAGCTGGTGAAGGATGATGGAAGTAGTAATTCAACAACCTCTACATAAGTAGAATGAAAAGGCGGGAAGGAGAGAAAAGCAAAATATCGTGGGACTTTAGAAATTAGCACTGTACATTTATTTCAATGAAAGCTTTCATAGGTTAAAATCTACCTTTTCTGTCACAAGTAGGATAAATAGGATGATCTTGTTGGTGCGGCTCAGGACCAGGCTAGGGTATGAGTAATAGAAGGGACGGTATGATCAATATGCTAATTACTTGAAATTGTGGACTCTAGCCAATGTGGTAAGCTCTATGCCTGGTGAATTTGGGTGTCACAGAAACACTTAAAGGTTTTTGCCCCAAAACAAAGGTCTTTCAAGGGACCGTTTAGAAATTACTTGGAGACAGAGTCTATCCAGAATCACAGTGGATTTTGAGTTAATAGATCCACCACTGACATGGTATTTTCCCTCAGAGAGTTGCAGGAGAAATGTAGGGGACAGCAATAGCCACTCTTTGTGGCCTTCATAGACCTTACAAAAGCATTTGACTTGGTTAGCAGGGATGGCCTTTTTAAAATACTTCCCAAGATTGGATGTCCACCTCGATTTCTTAACATCATCAGGTCCTTTCATAAGGAAATAAAGGGCACTGTAGTTTTTGATGGCTCAACATCAGATCCCTTTGACATCCAAAGTGGAGTGAAACAGAGCTGTGTCCTCACGCCGACCCTGTTTGGGAACCTTTTTCCTGTCATGCTGGAGCACGCCTTTGGAACTGTAACAGAAGGTGTCTATCTCCAGATCAGATGGAAAGCTGTTTAATCTCGATTGAGAGCAAAGACCAAAGTCCAGCTGAAATGCATGTGGGACTTCCTCTTCGCCGATGAAGCAGCTGTTGTTGCCCATTCTGCTGAAGACCTCCAACAACTCGTGAATCATTTTAGCAAGGCTTGCCAAAACTTTGGATTAACAATCAGCCTGAAGAAAACATAAGTCATGGGCCAGGATGTGGACTCACCTCCCTCTGTTACCATCTCCACACAAGAATTGGAGGTTGTTCATGACTCTGTGTACCTTGGCTCAACAATCTCCGACACTCTCCCTAGATGTCAAGCTGGATAAACGCATTGGCAAAGGAGCTACCATGTTCTCTAGACTCACAAAGAGAGCATCGCTTAATAAGAAGCTGACGGCATATACCAAGATCCAGCTCTATAGAGACTATGTCCTGAGTACACTCCTGTACTGCAATGAGTCCTGTACCCTTTGTGCATGGCAGGAGAGGACGCTGAGCACGTTCCATATGTGTTGTCTTTGATGCATTTTTGGTATCACCAGGCAGGATAACATTCCAAATAGAGTAGTCCTAGAACGAGCTGGAATTTTTAGCATGTATATATTACTGAAACAGCAACATCTACGTTGGCTTGAGCATGTCGTGGGAATGGCTGATGGTCAGATTCCAAAAGATCTCCTGTATGGAGAATTAGTGCAGGGAAATCACCCCAGAGGGAGACCACAGCTGCAATACAAGGATATCTGCAAGTGGGATCTGAAGGCCTTAGGAATGAACCTCAGCAGATGGGAAACCTTGATATCTGAGCATTTAGCCTGAAGGCAGGCGGTGCAGCATGGCCTCTCCCAATTTGAAGAGACCCTTGTCCAGCAAGCTGAGGGAAGTGGGCAGTCCTGAAACCAGCAGAATCAGGGAGCTGGAAAGGGGACAGATTGTATTTGTCTTCAGTATGGAAGGGAGTCACTCTTAAATTGGCCTTCTCAGCCACTCTAGATGCTGTTCCGAGTCCTCTATTCAGAACACGTTACCATAGTCTCTCAAGATTGAAGGATGCCTAATCTAAAATCTACAGATTTCAGAAAGCTGTTGTTAATATATGTGGTGTCCTAAGAAGCCTTGATCTCCAAGCCATTCGAGATGCATTTGGATATGTTGTGTTTCCACTTTCTTTCTCAAGTCTTCCTTTGTTAGTATGCTGAGACAGACTGAAACATCATCTTTGAAAATTTCATCTGCAAAAATTCCTCTAATTTATGGCAAGTGCTACGTGGATATCTATCAAAGTGTCCCTGGGACGTGCCCCTTAAGCCCTTGTGAAGGCTTATTTGCTGTTAGGACCAGAAGCGTCAGTGTTCTGAATTTGTTCTTGAAGGAAAGTGACTGCTGTTATAATCTCTCACATTATAGAAGTTGCCATAGTGTTCTGGTGTAGACTGATTTAGACTGTTTTGGGAAATTAAACATGCCTCATTGAAGACTGCAGATGGAATATCCCACAGTGCCCTGAAAATGACATTATTGGTGGCTTTACAGAAAATGAAGCAGTAGATGTCCATGAATGGGATTTTTAAAAAGGGGATGGGAAAGGCAGAGCAGGAGTATGTCATGATTAGAGATGGAAGTATTTGTATTTGTATACGAATATCCCCGCACAGGTGGTGTTAACAATGGTCCAGCACCATGGGGCTGGACGGGCCACTCATGGATCCAACAATGGCTCCGCAGTGCACAATCTGCTCACCATTCCTGGCAGGAGGTGGGAGGGCAAGACTCGCTGCAAGGTTGAAGACTGGCGAGTGGATTGCGCACTGTGGAGCCATTCGTAGAATTGCATTGGATCAGTGAGTGGACTGTCCGGCCCCATGGGGCTTGACCCTAGTTAATGCCACCTGTGCCGAGATACTCGAATATGAATACCCCCATCTCTTGTCACGATCTGTTAGAGTCCTTTAGCATCTGTCAGTTGTGTAAATTGGCATGTGCACTGAAAACTGTTTTGGTAGTACATACATACTTGGAAGCAAACTTTTTTGGAACTTAATAAGATTTCGGTTTAGGTAAACATGAAAAGGAATTTGTCCTGGAATACCCTAATGGGTCAACCCTGTGGTGATCATGTTAACAGTAAAACTACTGAAAAGCATGTGAACAACATTGGTAGTATCATCAATGAGACCTTATTTTGCTGATTAGCAGCTCATTTGGGATCATTATACTTTCTTTTCCCAGACTGTGGGTGGCTAATCCCTATTCACTTAAAGACAGGCCTCAAATTTGAAACACCTGTTGTCAAACAACATGCCACACAACACAAATTTGGAAATAAGAGCATAAACCTGGTACAAACCCAAATATGAAACTGTCTCCACATCTTCTCTGGCAGCACCATTGTGGCCACTAATGTCATCCACAAAAGGGGCTTATTTATTTGTTCATCTAAGTATATACCAGCTTTTGTCAGCCATGCCCCTTTGTGTTTGACAAAGGATGCAAATCTGAAAAGGTAGCACCCAAAAGCTAATTTAGAATGCTTCAACTTCTTAGGACAGTGTTACAGATCTCAAAGATATGTGGCGAAAAGCCATAACAGAGTCAGATTTAAGAGGAAGACAGCTGAAGTGGGCTATAATCACAGTTTCCAGTGTAGTATAAAAAGATGAAATAATGACAAATGTTATGTTCTATATGCTGTTGTCAAACCCATCTTACAGTGACCCTTTGTGAGAATGAGCGAATCCCTATCAGGAAGGAAGAGAGTGAGCTGTCCCCTCAAATATCCACTACAGAGGGATACAAAACAGCTTACCTTCTGTTGCCAGTCATGGCCCAATTAGAAGTACAGGAGAAAAAGAGTGGGAAAGGAGGAAGAGAAAGGGGAGGAGCCAGTAGTAGAGGGGTATCTGGTGACTGTGGCAGAGGAGAGGAAGGAGGGAGATGAGAAAAAGAGGGAAAGAAGGGATAGCGGCACAGTTGGGGAAGACAGCCTATAGAATGGACTGTATTTATGTACCTGAAGGGGGAAGATCTCTGGAGGAAGGGAATCGGACTGACTCCGACCAATCAGCCCGCAAAACCCACAGAAGGAGAGTGGGTTCAGCACTCCTGTTGCGGCACCATATGTCCCAGTCTGATGAACCCAACGAGAAAACCAATCGATTGCTAACACTTTGGAGTGAAACTCCTTTGGTGGACTCTCATCGCACCCGAGTTAAAGGACAGTTATATAAAGCAAAATATGTTAGAAGGACTTGTTGGCCCTACAGAGGTTGTTGTTCACAATCTCCTATTTTAGAAAATAAAAAAGATTGTTTGTCTAAAAGCGTTGCCAGTTTTTGGGGAACAAAATGGAGGATGAAGATTGCCCAAGCTTGAACCCACTCACACCCTTATAGGTAAGTGTGTTGTTTAAGGAGTGTTTTTACCAGTTCCATACCCCCAGTAAGCTTCCATGGCCAAGTGTGAATTCAGACCCAGGTTTCCTGAATTACTCTGTCCACTGCATCACACTGGGTACCACAAGGATTCTTAGCATATTATACTAGTACAGTACTTTGGATTCATCCACAGTTTTGA